AATTAAAATTGTCGTTTATACAACAGGTCCTTAGAATGAAAGGATTCTCACCAACTTGGTGCGAATGGATTTCAAAAGTCATGTCTGGAGGGAGTGTTGCAGTAAAGGTCAATGATAATGTTGGCCACTATTTCCAAACCAGGAAATGAGTGAGGCAGGGGGATCCGTTATCTCCAATTCTGTTTAATATTGCGGTTGACATGCTGGCTATCTTTATTTCACGAGCTAAAGAAAGTGAACAAGTTCAAGGGGTTGTTCCACATTTGGTAGATGAGGGACTTTCAATCCTTCAGTATGTAGATGACACTGTCATCTTTATGGACAATGATCTAGAGAAGGCCAAAGACATGAACCTTTTACTTTGTGCTTTTGAACAACTATCATGACTCAAGATCAACTTCCATAAGAGCGAATTGTTCTGTTATGGAACAACCAAAGCTAATCAAAATGAATATGTACAAATTTTTGGGTGTGATTTAGGGCCATTTCCATTTAGATATCTAGAAATCCCTATGCATCGTAGAAAACTCTTGAATAAAGACCGAAAGCATGTTGAAGAACGTTTTCAAAAGAGGCTAAATTGTTGGAGAAGCAAAATGTTATCGGTAGGAGGAAGGCTTGTTCTGATTAACTCCGTTTTGAGTAGTCTCCCCATGTTTATGCTTTCCTTTTTTGAAGTACCTAGAGGGGTTCTAAAGAAGTTGGACTATTTTAGGCCACAATTTTTTTGGCAGAACGACGAACATAAGAAAAAATATAGATTGATTAAGTGGGAGGTAGTTTGTACGCCAAAAGATCAAAGGGGTTGGGAGTCCTAAACTTAGACGTACATAACACGTGTTTCCTAATCAAATGGCATTTTAGGTTGCTGAATGGAGATGGGATCTGGCAACAATTGCTTAGGAACAAGTATTTAAGAAACAAAACTTTGACACAAGTTCAATACATGCCTGGGGACTCCCATTTTGAGTTGGCCTTATGAAAGACAAGGAGGATTCCTATCGTTGGCTAAGTTTGATCTAGGCGACGGGTCTCAAGTGCGATTTCGGGAGGACTTGTGGATAAGACTGCGTCTTTTAAAATCTCTCTTTCCCGCATTATATAATATTGTTAGGAAGAAAAGCGCATCTGTAAGAACGGTATTGTCTACGACACCGTTAAATATGGCTTTCAGAAGATATCTGGTAGGTGTTAATTTACAAGCATGGCACGGGTGGTCGCCATGGTTGCAGATGTACAGTTAACAAACCAGAGGGATTGTTTCGTGTGGGGGCTACATCAGAATGGATTGTTTTCAGTCAAATCCATGTACAGAGCCGTTTTAGGAGTTGAAGCTATACCTTATAACACTTTAATATGGAAACTGAAACTACCTCTCAAAATCAAAGTATTTTTGCAGCATTTGTATAAGGGAGTAATCTTAACAAATGACAATTTAGCAAGGCGGCAGTGGCAAAAAATATTGAGACAACTGCAATGGAAGTATTTGCTAGATATAGTTGGAGATTTAGTAATAAAATTGCTCTCTAGATGTCGAGTTTGGAAACTTTATATTTTTTTTTTTAGATCAAAACTTTGTGTTTGAGATTGCGTGGATTGCAGTGCTTGTGTTGTAATAAGCAACAGCTATATGCATTGGTCGATGCAGAAGTTGAAATATTAATATATTCCCTTTTTTCTAAAGATCCATGATAGTGAGGATTGAATGGAGGAAACTTGATTCACAGTATTTGGCTCATAAGTCATGGTTTATCAGCCAACGAACAGTATTTTTCTCTCACATTAAACCAATCAACACCAAATCAGTCAACAGTGTTTTTGGCCATGGCTTATAAGCCAAACCAGCCCAAACAAAGAGGCTACATCCATCCATGCGAGGCAAATCGAAGCCCATGCTTGAAGCGCACCGCAGTCTCTGTTGGGTCTCTTTGTTTCTTTCTGCTCAAGTGGCTTCTTCCATCCGAGCCTTCGGAAAGAAGCTTCTCCCGTGTTCCACAGCCAGCCCTCAAAGATCTCCAAATCATGGACCGAGGGGGTGTTTGTATCCGGTGATTAAAATTTAGCATGTGTCATATAGGGGATATCGCATGGAATATTCGGGTACTAATAAAAAAATAAATTATAGAATCCGTCAATAATTCGGAAGATGAATTTATTAAGCCTAATTAATCCATCATTCAAATCAGGGACTAATTAGACTTAAAAATTTGTCTTAAAAATTAGTTACAAACTGTGTATTTAGTTTCGTAAATAATTTATATTTAATACTCTATACGGACGTCAAACATTCGCTAGGACGACGAAAAGTTGCCTAATTTTAATCCGCGCGCGTGGTAGGTGTGTGTGCCCGTCCTGTCCTCCGTCCCTCTCGAAAACAGTTTTTAAAATCGCAGAGTCAGATCCAAGATTCCATCCAAATCGGAGAGGGCCGTGAAGCGGGGACGACAACGACGAGTCCCCGCAAAAGCACCGCAGTCTCTGTTGGGTCTCTTTGTTTCTTTCTGCTCAAGTGGCTTCTTCCATCCGAGCCTTCGGAAAGAAGCTTCTCCCGTGTTCCACAGCCAGCCCCTAAAGATCTCCAAATCATCGACTAAGCCCCGTTCATTTATCTTATAATTCATACTATTCAGTTTATTTTTTTATTTGAAATAGTGTTTTTCTCCCACAACAAATTAGCTAGAACAACATTTTGAATAGTTTTTTTAACGAAGCGAACGGTCACGGGCCCTAATTTTAATCCGCGCGCGTGTTAGGTGTGTGTGCCCGTCCTGTCCTCCGTCCCTCTCGAAAACAGTTTTAAAATCGCAGAGTCAGATCCAAGATTCCATCCAAATCGGAGAGGGCCGTGAAGCGGGGGACGACGACGACGAGTTCGTGTCGAGTTCCTGAGGAGTTGCTGTCCTATCCGGTCTGACCTTTTTTTCCCCCCATTTCACGGAACAGTCCCCGTAAAAGTCACCCAAGTCCGGTGTACGACGATGGCGGCCACTCGGCAGGGATTCGCTCGCCGGTTCCCTGCTGCTGGACCGTGGTCCATCGATCGTCTAGGGTGCGCGGTGCCGATGCGAGCGACGGACCCGATCCGATCGAGTTGGGGTTGGGACGTTGGGTGTGGCCCGTGGCCGGCCCTGTGCGGGCAGCGTACGATGATTCCATCCACAGCCTCGGCACACGGGCACAGTGCCCGGGCCTCGTGGCGCACGCGTCGCCTTCAGTTTCGGTCACGGGCTCTCGTGTCTCGTTCACGGTTCACCCTCCCTCACTAGTCACCAGTCACCACACCAGCGGTTCACTCACCGCGTCACCAGGGCCCAGGCGGGCGGTCAGCTGCTCGTCGGCGGTCGTTGCCGCTCCGCCGGCTGCCGGCTGCCGCCTAGGCGTTGCCGTTGGCTGCTAGTAGACGTCAACAGTTTTTTGGACCTGCGCGGCGCGCATGTAATCCGCCGCGCCAGGAAGACGTCACGCTCGGCTCGGTGTGTTTGCGTACCTTTCTTCCACCCACCCCCCGTGGGCTGTGGCTCACGAGCTAGTAGCATAGCATCTCTTTCTTTCTCGTCGTCGGAGGAAAAGAGCCATGGAGATGGCTGCTTTGGCAGATGCACTCATGCACCTGACATGGTGCCTAGTCTATATAGAGGGCTAGGTAAAATCATTTCGATCTTGATACCGGTAGGCGGCTACTCGATGGTAATCTCGCCATTTGCAGAAAAGTAAGGGATCTGGAAGTAGGCGCCTGTCGTTTCGTGCGTGGCGAAGCAGTGCGGTGCGAGCGTGCGTGTGTGACAAGATGGGCAGTTTTTTTTTTTCTAATGGAGATAGTAGACACGATGAATACGATTGGTAAAAAGCTAGTGTTATTTACCACACGGGAATATTTCTACCTTTTGAAATAGAGAAACGAATAATGGTACGACCAAAAAGAAAGGGTGTACGCTAAAAGCAAATCGCCAAGAAATTGTCCAGTGCAAAAGTTAAAACTCTCGCAGCCGTTCAATTCGCACCCAATCGATTGCACAATCGATTCTGTTTCAGCTTCCTGCTCCATCCTTTGTCTCATCTCCGTTCTGCCACTGTTTTATTAAGTTCCTCCTCACTTTGCTTCCGTAGCTAGCCCCGATACTTCCAAAAGTGGTGCCATCCGCCATTTATGTTTATGTTTGACCATATAAAATGAAAATGAAAGTGGTACAGGACAAGCGTGCAACAGTAATGCGCCAGTTTTGCTGTATTAGGGCACCATCAACACAATTGGAGGCTAACGCTTTAGTAGTTCAGTACAAATAAAGTGATCCATAAAGACTAGGAATATTGAGATTACTATTTACACAATGCAAATTTCTCATTATGGTTTGTAAAGAAACTTTTTCTTTTCCTCATATCTCATCTTTATTTTTTCTCCCTCTTCTCTTTTAGCATGGATCACCTTCTATCTCCCCAAACATATGTAGCTTCTGTAAGCTACTATAACCAATGTAGAGCACCTACTTTTTTTTATCCGATCCTATGTGGCACTTGGAGCTACAAGTAAAATGATGGCCTTGGGGAAGGCCTTTTGTCTGGTTGAAAAAGGCCACTCCTGCGTCCCGAATTTTATAAGAAAAAAAAAGGTGTTCCGGAAGAGTTCTACAATCAGATCAAATGTGTTGTCAAATTCTACCTAGAAATTACAGCAAAATAGTCATCGCAACAAGATAAGTGTAAATCTAGCATAAGTTGCCAGTATATATATATATATGAGAAAAAAGATGTTCACTGGAATCTATTCCATATACATGCTATTTACGAAGAAGAAAAAGAAATAGAAAAATGTGAAGCAAAGATTTTCACCTTGCTACGGAACGGAATAGACAAGCCCTAATACGTTACACTAGACTCGAGTCCTTCGTTTCAGCGTAAATGTAGGGTTTTTTTGTGAACAAGCGTAAATGTTTTTTGAAAGATCATTTCGCCGGAACTTCATTAACTCTGTTGTTCCATGCATGTGTCGCAACAACGATCAGGAGGTGTGTCGGAGATGGAGGCTTTCCTGAAGAAGTTCTTCCCGGGCTTGCTCAAGCGGACGGCGCGCGGCGCCAGCAAGGACGTCTACTGCATCTACAACAACCAGGCGCTGACGGCCTTCACCTCGTCGCTGTACGCGTTCGGCATGGTGGGGACGCTGCTGGCGAGCCGCGTCACCCGGCGGCTGGGGCGCCAGGCCGTGATGCTGATCGGCGGCAGCCTGTTCCTGGCGGGCGCTCTCGTCAACGCCGCCGCGGCGAACCTCGCCATGCTCATCGTGGGACGGATGCTGCTGGGCCTGGGCCTCGGGTTCTCCGGCCAGGCCACGCCGGTGTACCTCGCCGAGGTGTCGCCCCCGCGCTGGCGCGGCGGCTTCATCTCGGCGTTCCCGCTCTTCATCAGCATAGGTTACCTGGTGGCCAACCTCATCAACTACGGCACCTCGCGGATCCCAGACTGGGGCTGGCGCCTGTCGCTGGGCCTCGCCGCCGTCCCGGCCGCCGTCATGGTGGCGGGCGCCGCGTTCATCCCGGACACCCCCAGCAGCCTCGTCCTGCGCGGGAAGCACGACGTCGCCCGCGCCGTGCTGCAGCGGGTGCGCGGCAAGGGCGTGGACATCGGCGCCGAGTTCGCGGACATCCTCGCCGCGGCGGAGAGCGACCGGCGGAACGAGGAGGGCGCGTTCCGGCGTATCCTGCGCCGCGAGTACCGGCCGTACCTGGTGATGGCCGTGGCGTTCCCGGTGTTCCTGAACCTCACCGGGGTCGCCGTCACCGCCTTCTTCTCGCCGATTCTGTTCCGGACCGTCGGGTTCGAGAGCGACGCCGCGCTCATGGGCGCCATCATCCTGGGACTGATGAACATCGGCGGCATCCTCGCGTCGGGCTTCGCCATGGACCGCTACGGCCGGAAGCTGCTCTTCATCATCGGTGGCGCGCTCATGTTCACTTGCCAGGCATACAAATCTAGCTGCTTACACATGTTACATTCTTTATTATTGATTCTTATTATTACATGAACGAATAACCTTTTTACTTATAATATTAAAAAAATGGCAGGTGGCGATGGCGAGCATCATCGGATCACAGCTCGGCAACGGGAGCAAGATGGCCAAGGGGTACGCGGTGACGGTGCTGGTGGTGACGCTGGTCTTCTCGGCGAGCTTCAGCTGGTCGTGGGGCGCGCTGTACTGGACCATCCCCGGCGAGATATACCCCGTGGAGGTGCGGTCGGCGGGGCAGGGCGCGGCGGTGGCGCTCAACCTGGGGCTCAACTTCCTGCAGGCGCAGTTCTTCCTGGCGATGCTGTGCTGCTTCAAGTACGGCACCTTCCTCTTCTACGCGTCGTGGCTGGTGGTGATGACCGCCTTCGCCGTGGCGTTCGTGCCGGAGACCAAGGGCGTGCCGCTCGAGTCCATGGCCCACGTCTTCGCGCGCCACTGGTACTGGGGCAGGTTCGTCAAGGACCACCAGAAGTTCGGCGAAGTGTCCACCTAGCTAAGCTAGCTCATTCGGAATCAGCGAACGTACCCTTGGTGGTGGTATACTACCAGTAGTATAGATTATTGACAAGGGAAATACATATTGTGTGCGTGTCTCTCTCTTTTGTGATGACTGAAGTGTTGGCTTAGAATGGCTTATCCGTGTAGTAAATTTCGAGAGTTGAAACATAATAATAGTATGTTCGTAGTAGCACATAAGAGAGCCTTCTATCATGTGTTTTTCTTCATAAATTTCGATGATATTGCATTGGCAGATCGTAACTGGGAGTCGACAATCGAATTCCTTGACTGTCTCTGCATACCGTATAACCTCTTCGAGTTGCACAGCAGATCTTTTTTTTTTTTTTTTGAGCAAAGCAGATCGCATAGTAATGGGTCAGCCGAAGATCCCATCACCCTGAGTCCACGTCACTTTACAAGCCCACCTGGCAGTGGCGCCTATGTTCTGTGCGCATATCAACGCTATAATGGGCCTCAGTCGGTGAACAGCATTGAGCCGGCCTAAACCCATGCGGAAACATCTCGAACCTTCAGTCACAGCTGACTGGATGTCTGGATCACACGGGTGTCATAGATACTGTCATTCTTTTCTATAAAGTTGATCAAATCTAAAATAGTTTACCTTAGACTGATTCTAAAAATTAATTTATTTTGGGAAGAAAGGTAGCAATACTTACTTTTTGTCACATTTAGGAGTGGGTGCCCTTCAAACGTCAGTTGTATATATAGATGCTTTGGTGTGTGCCATACAAGAGAAACAATTCTTACATTTGTTCTATTTTCGCATAATAATGTTCCAGTCCAAACCGAAAGATATTCTTACCCAAAAAAGGACATAAGAACTTGTTCATAACAAAAGACATTTTGCTAAGGAAAAGTGTAATAGATTCAGTGATTTCCAATGTTTCGATTGTCATGGCCCAAATCCACGACATGTTTTTCCACCTACGTCCATGTGAGCAAGGAAAAAACTTTATATTACCTAGAACAACCCTTGATCGTTTTTCGGCAATGAAAATATGTTGTTCGATAGTTTATTTTTTATGGACTCAGCAGTTAAATTTATTGTTCGATGGTTTTATTTTGTATTGTCATAGTAGTGAAAATCCATTGTTTCATAATTTGCAGTATAATTTTCATTGTTCTAGCACTGAAGTCAGGTGCCGGTGCCAAATTAGTGAATTACACCCAGGTCTACCACTCTACCTTATGTAACCAAGTATTATGCACAATTAGTTGCCAAAAACAAACTCTCTCCGTTTCAAATTATAAGTTGCTTTGATTTTTTTGATACATATAATTTGTTATGTATTTAGACATATATTATATTTAGATGCATAGTAAAATAGATGAAAAAAAAATTAAAGTGACTTATAATTTAAAACGGAATGAGTACTGGGTACCCACTCTCTCACTCCTAAAACATAATGGCCTTTAAGTTATCCTCGAGTAATAAAGAACAATAAAGTAGAAGTGATTTCGCTTCACGTCGATCGTATCTTGGTGTTCATCATCAGTAAGAAAAAGGCCAAAAGAAAAAAAAACAGTCAAGACAAAGCTCCAATCGTTACGCTGGCCGAGAACTTTAATTGGTCTCTCGCGCCGGTCCGTTGTGGCCCAGTTAAGCGAAGCGAGCTCCCGCGCACGCCCTCCAGGCGACAGGATATTTTTTGTCGAGAGTGACGTAGCCGAGCCCGAGGCTAACGCCACACTAAAACATCAGAATTTTCCAGCAAACACTAGAACTCTACCACACTTTACTTTGATTGTTGTTAGTATGTCGCTCGATCGCCGCATTCCTTTTCCCTACAGGCAGTTCACCTGAACCTCCTGCTTGGCATCCCTGACGAACCTCCTCCAGTACCAGTGCCCCGCCCAGACGGAGCGCATGGCCTCCAGCGGCACGCCTTTGGTCTCCGGCAGGAACGCGGCGACGAAGGCCGTCATGGCCAGGCGGACCCATCCGGCGTAGAACAGGAAGATGGCGTGCCTCATTGCGCAGAGCAGGGAGACGAACACCTGCGTCTGCGCGAAGGAGAGGCAGAGCGCGATGGACACCGTCAGCGCCTGCGCCGCCGACCTGATCTTCACGGGGTAGATCTCGCTCGGCACCACCCACTTGAGCGGCCCCCACGACACGCCGAAGCTGAAGGTGTACAGGCACATGAGCACCAGCATGGCCACCGCGTAGTCCAGCGGCATCGTCGCCGCGTTGTGCTTGCCGAGATGCCCCGCCAGGATGAACATGTCGGCCAACTTATTTTTACAACAAGGGAAAAGGAAAGTAAGAAATTTCTCAGCTCAAACACTACGAAATGTGTAGTACATGTACTGTTGGATCGGATATTGATCTGGGTTACCTGACAAATCATCATTGCTGCGCCACCGGCGAGGAACAAGAACCTGCGGCCGGCGCGGTCCATGACGAAGGAGGAGAGCAACGACGAGGCCAGGTTGACGAGGCTAAGAATGACGGATCCAAATATCGCCTTCTGGCTGCTGAACCCGACCGTCCGGAACAGCACCGGCGAGAAGACGGCCATGACGATGACGCCGGTGAGGTCGAAAAAGGAGGGGATGGCCACCACCATCACCAGGTAGTGGCCGTACCCCTTGGCGCACAGCCTCCCGTACGCGCCCTCGTCGTTCCGCCGCGCGTCCTCCACGGCGCGGACGATGTCCTTGAGCTCCGCGTCGGTTTCCGCGCCCAGGCCGCGGAGGCGTCGCAGCGAGACCCGGGCCCTGTCGGTGTCGCCGCGCAGGACGAGGCTTGCTGGGAGTGTCCGGGACGAGCAGGGCGCCCAGGACGACGATGGCGGCCGGGACGGCGGCGAGGCCCAGCGACACGCGCCAGCCCCAGCCCGGGATGCGGTTGGTGAAGTAGTTGGTGACCGTAATTAATGTTGTCTTCAACGGCATGGGCGCCGCTGGCCCCCTCCCCTGGCCGGCTGGCCGCCTCCTCGCCGCTGCCAAGAATGCAGCTGTTGCTAGTGCTTGGTGGTGTAATATTCTTGTTCCAATTCCAATATGTAATCCCTACTTGTTCTCTTTGGCTTCGGCCTATGTAACAACCCCCCTGGGCCATGGGCGTAAAACCTTCCTGAGCTGCAATCTGAATTGCGCTCCTTTGCAATAATCTAATCATGCGGGGGATGTTCTTCGTCCCACTCATTCAAAGTAGCCGAAGTGAAAGACCGGACTTCTCACATATGCATGCTGCTGCTAAGGATTGACACAGTTGGTGGCAACGACTGTATTTAAGACCTCCTAGAAGTCAGAAGGTATGGAGATTGTCTGGTACTCTGATAGCAGGAGTCGAGGAGAGGTTTCAGATTGCAAGAGGGAAAGCTTAGAAAAGATGGAGTCCGGGTTGAGGCAATCGATCGAGCAACGCATGCAGGCATCCAAAGCCCAAACGCTGGATCGCAGCCACCAGAGGGACTAGCTTTTCGCTGGAACGGGACTGACGACGAAAGCCCGCAGCAGTATGTTAACTAGCACCGCGACCGCGAGCGAGCGATCGGTGATCAGTGACGAGACGAGACCCAGGCATGCACACACACACACACACACGACATCTAACACTCGCGCACCGTACCTGAGACGCCAATGTCGTAGCCGAAGATGAGGCCGCAGGAGGCGGCCATGAGGCAGGTGACCACGACGGAGACCGTGACGCCTCCTCCTCCGTAGTCGTCGCGCGCGTGGCCGCCCTCCGCCGCGGCGAACCCGCCTCCGGCCATCGGAGGGCAGGGCAGGCAACTTCTTCCAGGGCCTCTTAATTCCCTCTTTATGTTTTGCACTCGATCTGTGGCCTGTGGCCTGTGGTGTGTGTGCTGTGGAGGCTTTATTATGGCTGCAACTGCAAGCTAGACACGCACGGCCGTACGAGGTTCACACCGCAATCCGCAAAACGGGTTCGCTGCATGCGGCCATGAGTTGGACATGGATTCTGTACATTGCTTTCTACGGAGTAGACTAGTAGACGTCGTGGAGTGCAGCAGTAAAATAAGTGCGGTGTACAGCATTGGTGCGGGGAAAGCGACGATGCTAATCAATTAAGCATAGGTGAGTCTACCCGATGCATGCATTATTTCGTCACGCCTCCGGAATTTCAACCGCCGGAATTCTAGTTTCTAGGAGAGCTTCTGGCGATGGCCTTCCACCGCTGCCGGAGAAGAAGCACGTGTCGTCCATGATATCAGAGTCCTAGGGGGGTTTAGGGCTCTAGAGGATTTATTTGCTGTGCCGGACATAGAGGGAGACTGGAGCAAGCAGTCATGAGTACACGAGAGGAAAGAACATAGTCATCGGATCGACCGAGGAAGATACAAGGTAGTTGAGTATAGTGAAGTAAAATTTCACGCATATAGGGGATGTTTGGGACTGCTCACATAGCAGTCACTCCACCGTGAAAGCGAAATATACAAAACTGGAGTTTGTGGAGTACCTCTTTAGGTGCTCTCACAACTCCACCATTTTTCCCGGAAAACAGAGTAAAACCGTTTGGCTTAAAAAAAACTGGGATATGAAAAAATTTGCAATGCATAGCGTGGAATACGTCAAAACACGCCCATAGTCTACGTATAATACAACATCACCCTTCTTCCACTATATGTTTTCATTTTCTTTTTATATTTGCGAGGGTGACGCATAGCCGTGATTTGGGAAACGGTTAGAAAGGTTATGCAAGTAAAGTTTTTGATAGCAACAAAGCAACGTTGAACGAACCAATGACGCTCGTCAGTCGTCACGGTGGGATGCGCCGTGCTATGTTAATTTCCAAAAGATCATGGGCATCATCAGTGAATGCAATTTTTAGAATCATGTTCTGTTTCTGCTAATTCATCATAGCCACGTAACACCGGTACCCCGCTCCGCTCCGCATGTTTTTCACCACTGACGATTTTGAAAACAAAATACACTTCTTAATTTTGTAGCCCCACAAGCTAAAGCTAAGTATGAGATAGAGCATCTTCACTCTACTCTATATTTGAGTATAGTGAAGTAAAAACTCTATAACCAACATGCTACCTACTTGGTCCCTCGAGATTTGTTGCCTATCTAAATCCTTCCCTTACCCATTCCCATGTATTGGGATTCTATAAAATATCTAGTTTTCTATTCTATTGGTGTTCCACCATAAAATAAGGTATACTAATATAAAATAGCCTAGTTTTCGGTTCCACTGGTGGTGTACCACCATTAGCCCATATACTACTGTTTTAATCAATATAAAATGAGGCTCCTCTACTAGCTAGCCTTTCCTCACGCCTTTGGTGCCCGCCCATGCTAATGAAAATGACCGTCGTTGCCTTCCTCTAGCGCCTCCTCCTCCCTACTCACCACCACCACAAAAGCATATCCTAAACTAAGCCAAATCACCCAAGCCCTAGCCGCTCTCTGCTTCAGTTCAACATCCAAGCAATCGCCAAATACACTCAGAGTTAGGAGAGAGCAGCGACCTCATTACACCTCCGCCCTCCCCTATGACATGTAGATTTGTCAAATCTATGCCACCTAATTGAGCTTGAGGTTGAAGATCTGTGGCAAAGGATTCTAGGGGTCAAGCCTTGAGGCAGATTCGATGGCGGTGATGGACGAGGCATGCTAGATTTGACTTCCATAAGAGCGGCCAGACTTGCGGTAGCTGGGCGGATGGAGATGGTGGAGTCGTTGCTTCCTGTTGCTGCAATAAGATGGTAGCAGAGCTCTTGACAAGTGGATGTGACAGGTGACGACGCCGCATCATCTGAGATAGTAGTCGGTGACACAAGTCGCTTCAACCAATAGACGCAAGGTTGAGTTGTAAGCTCCTGGATTTATTTTACACCGCTCCATGCCGCAGGAGAAGGGAAGCGGCAAGCACCGAGCACTAAGGCGACCCACGCTCGATAGCTGTCGTTTTGTTTTCTGAATCTGAGGAGGTATGTTCACACTATTTTTGGCTTAATTCACATGTAAATTTTGTGTGCACACAAGTCTTCCAAACAGATAATTTTGGTTTGGGTTAGAAAAACAATCAAGCCTATAAGTTACAAGTGTTTTGGACAAATACCAAGCTTCCGAACAGGGCCTAAGGGTTTTTTCACTAGTAGAGATAGAGAAGAGTAATCATTGGGCTTTATAGCCATATATAACAAACACTGAAGAAATTTAACCACATAAATATGGGCATGTTGGCTTATCTGAATTCTGGAGGAATCTGGATGGTTTAGAGGAATGCTGGAGGAATTTGTGAGAGAAAAATATTGTTCCGGATGAAAAATAAATCATACTGTATATATTGTATATACCCGGCCAATCATTTGAGTTTACGCTGCTTAAACTTTAAACTGGTGAACTGATGAGCCCCTCAAAGTTACTAAATTCATTTTTTTTCAAAAAAAAATTATAACATTCATTTACAAACAATTGACTTGGTTGTCCTGCCTGGCATCCTCCTTGACGAACCTCCTCCAGTACCAATGCCGCGCCCACACGGACTGCATGGCCTCCAGCGGGACGCCTTTCGTCTCCGGCAGGAACATCACGACGAAGACGGTCATGACCAGGAGCCATGCGGCGTAGAACAGGAAGACAGCGTACTTCATGGCGCAGAGCAGCGCGATGAACACCTGCAGCTCCACGAAGGAGATGCATAGTGTGATGGAGATGCTCAGGGCCTGCCCGGCCGACCTGACCTCCACGGGGTAGATCTCGCTCGGCACCACCCACCTGAGCGGGGCCCACGACAGGCCGAAGCTGAACGTGCACATGCAGATCAACACCAGCACGCCGGTCGCGTAGCTCCGCGGCATCGTCGTCACCCCTCCGTGCTTCCCGAGGTGATCCGCCATGATCCAGGAAATGGTCACCTTAATATTATATATGATGCAGCAATCATCATGGAGAAATCATGGTCAGCTTAATGATGAGCAAAGTCAACGATAGCACAGCCAGCACACTCCAACATGGTTAGCTAGGATGCTTACCTCGCAAATCATCATACCTAAGCCACCAACGACGAACAGAAACCTGCGTCCGACGCGGTCCATGACGACGGAGGACAGCAACGTCGAGGCCAGATTGGTCATGCTGTTGATCACGGAGCCAAGGATAGCCCTCTGGCTGCTGAACCCAACCGTCCGGAACAGCACCGGCGAGAAGATGGAGATGACGATCATGCCGGTGAACTCGTAGAACACGGGTATGGCCACCCCTATCGCCAGGTAGTGCCGGTACTCCTTGCTGAACAGCCGCCGGAACGCGCCGTCGTCGTTCTGGCGCGCCACGTCCACGGCGCGGACGATGTCCTTGAACTCGGCGTCGACGTCGGCGTCGTCCCCGCGGACGCGCTGCAGCGCGGCGCGAGCCCTCTCGTGCTGGCCTCGCATGACCAGGCTGATGGGGGTGTCCGAGACGAAGAAGGCTCCCAGGACGGTGGCAGCGCCCGGCACGGCTGCCAGGCCCAGGGAGACGCGCCACCCCCAGCCGGGGATGTGGTTGGTGAAGTAGTTGGTGACGGTCGCCGACAGTATGCCGACGACGACGAAGGCGTTGTAGGCCGACGTGAACGCGCCTCGCCACCTCGCCGGCGCTGTCTCGGAGAGATACACAGGAGCGGCCTGCAAGGTGAAGCCAAGGCCGAAGCCTAGCAGCATCCGGCCGATGATGAGCATGGCGATGTTCACCGCGGCGGCGTTGATGACGGAACCGGCGAGGAACAGCACGCCGCCGATGAGCATGATGGCCTGGCGGCCCACCCTTCGGGTCACGCGGCTCGCCACCAGCGAGGACAGCGCGGCGGCGATCCATAACGACGACGTGAAGGCGGTGAGCCATTGGTTGTCGTACTTGCAGTAGGCGTCCACCTTTGCGCTCTTCCTCCCGTCGATCACGTCCGGGAAGAAATTGCCCAGGAACGAATCCATTTGAGTCACGCCACCTGAAGATTAACCAGGAAAGATGTGCACCGGAGTCCGGAGCCGATTAGTGCTGGTGTGTGCAATCTGAGCTCTAAATCAGGCCGCGGAGTACGCACCTGAGACGCCGGAGTCGTAGCCAAAGATGAGGCCGCAGGAGGCAGCCATGAGGCTGGTCACCACGACGGAGAACGTCACGCCACCGCCGTAGTCCAGCACACCGACGGACGATCCTCCTACGGCCATTGTTGTATGTTCTCAAGGCTCGGTGTGCAAGTAGCGAAGCTCTGTTTCAGAAGACGCGGTAGTGAGAAGGTCACCAGCGCTGCACTGCATATATATAGCTCAGCGTGGCGTTTGTAATCTTAGGTGTTCGTGTTCCGAGCTGGAACGAACACAAGGCGTTGAATAGCGCAGGTCTCTGTTTATGTATTTTCACGGTACCATACAGAGCCGAGCTTTTGTTTCATCATTGCAATTAAACTACACCTTTGCACTTTGATCACCAATTGGTTGTTGTGCAACATGGCAGACTACTTGGGCCAATAATTCTAAGGGTATAAATAAATGCTAGAAATTTATGGACAACTGTGAAGCCTATGCCAAAATTATTTATGTTTGCCCGCTCTCTCAATTGTTCATATTCTAATAAACATTTTAATATCTATGTCCAGTTGGTTTAGACTTACTGATTGCTTTATATGCCTTCTCATCTAATGATACTATGCCCAACCTTTCAATAGGTAAATATAAGTCGATTTGTGGAGAATTCAACGCAGATGATCCAAGGCTTCATATCAGAACAGAATGCAACACCCACAATTGCTACACAATAGCTCCATTTGTTGCAACACAATTTGATCTCACCAAGAAGACTTGTCTCCGCACGTGAATCAAGAACACAAGTAACATACATGATACAACTCAATCGGCCTGTTCGCTTGAACTGCTTATCAGCCATGAAACAATATTTTTCTCACAACAAAACAGCATCAGCCGACTTATCAGCCGAACAGGGCGAATATTTTGAATATGCTTGGGCACAAGTCAAATAGCCAGGGTTACTATAGACATTGACATCTTCCATTCATTCAGAAAAAATAGAAGAACTTGTTTGCCAAATGTTTTACCAAAAGTATTCAGCTTCACTTAAGAAGCTGCTCCTTTAAAGGAGCTAGAGCTGAAGATGTTTTTGGAGGAGTTAGAGCCCAGCATACATGCTCCTAGTAAGAAGACAAGATGAGCAGTGTAAAGGTCCTTTCATTTCAAGTAAAACGTGAATAGCAACAAAAAAAAAAAAACGTGGACAACAAAACTTTCATGTGGCATTTGTTTGGAACCCAATATTAGCCTAATCAATCCAAAAGGCAAAGTGGCCACACCCGGGAATCTAGAAATATACATAGAACTTTTGATGTACTCCTACTTCACAACGCGCACATGGCATTTCAACCAAAAATTCCTTCGTAACAGCCATGACTACTTAAGTATGCGTGCTCTTGCGCTCTCCCCTCTAAGAATCTATGGACATCGTAAGGTACAATGCAAACTTATAGCGACACATATCATACCACAAAATATAAGTAGGAAATACATTAAGCGAATTTGGTCAAACATATATATAATAGCTTGTAAAGTTTTTCTAATCTAATCAATAATAATTTGTAAGTATACATATTACACACTACAGCGCCGTTGCCAACCCAGGTTTGCTGGGACGAAAGTTGACAAAAATATATTGTTCAGACCACAGGGAGTATAATATGAAGGGAAAAGAAGTGGATATATATACATGTTGGAGTTAGAATATGGTATACCTTTCTTGATTTCGAAATGAAGCCACAAGTTGCACATGACTATATGCTTGAATCAACAAGGCCCAATTTGCAATGTCAACGCCTATACTTTGACATGCAGTGACAAGGAGCATCTGCATATGACGCCACAAAATCAGGATCTATAATATTCCCTCCGGTCATCGGTTATAAGGGACGTGTTTTGAATATTGATATGTTTTCAAAAGTCAACTTCTATAACAATTTTTTAACACAACAGAAATATACTATTATGAATCTAGTTGTCCCATTTTCAACTATCTTAAGACATGAGAAGTACTAGTAATCTATAACCAAAGTTCAAAATGATTGAATTCAAAAAACCCAAAATATCACTTATCCATGACTAGAGAGTACTTATGTATTTATTGACGTTAAATAGTGAGATGCTAGTTGAGGACTACAGTCCCACGTCATCTCTTGGGCATGTGACCCTCCCCAATTACGGCGCGCTTGTCCCAACCGCGCCCCGGTCTTCGGTCTTCCCGTTGCTAGTGCTGGTGCTGCTAGCCGCATGATTGCACAATAATATGTGCAAATTGTTGATGAATTTTCTGATCCTCTCTCTTTTTTTTAGTCGATCGAGGACCTAAGATAAATGTACCACGTTTGGATCCCTGGAATTAAATTTATTTTAATAATCATAATTTAGACACATATTATTTAAGTTAATATGGTTGTATATAAATTATGTATATTATTGTTGGTTATACGAGAGAGATACTTATGTGTTGCATTTTTATCGTAGAGGAGCGAGTTGAATAGTGTGTTATAAGTTGTAAAGTACAAACATAAAATTGGGATCTATAGAATCAATTTCTATCTCCTACTCTATGAGTTTGAGATAGGTTTATATGCGAATTCCCCCCCCCCTCCCCCTCCCCCGTTCTCTTCCATCCCTTCCAAAGAATCGGCACTGTTGAGGATAGAGTATGTATGAGCAGCGTGTGGTGACCGCGCTCACCATCAGCACACGACGTGCGTAGACTAGGACAGTTGCTGAAGATAGCAACCTCCATTTGTTGTACTATATATACATTCAATTGAGATCAATACAAGGTGTCGGCTCCTACCAGAACATCGGTGGTTACCCTTCTACTCCACGTGCTCCCACTAGATGGACTCCAGGCCTCAACCCATGGACTGGCATGGTCCAGGCCTGGCTGATGCCATTCCGTGCGCCTGGTGCCGGCGTGCTCCGGCACTGCGCCTTAGCAAGCATACCTCGCCGTCCAGGCCGGTCAGGATATGCACGGCGTCGCTCCTCCACTAGCTGCTCCCGCCCAGGATGTCTGGAATCACCAGGCTCTCCTCGCCGCGCTGGCCACGGCCAACGTTCCGGCGTCCGGCCCGCAGTCTGCCGAATCGTTCCTCGACACCGGTGCATCCTCGCACATGGCTTCCAACCCCGGTACCTTCTCCTCCTCTCAACCTCTCTTCCATTCTTCTCCTATCACTGTTGGCAATGGTGCTCGGTTGCCCGTCACTCATCGGGCCTCCACGGCCATTGCCACTGCTCGTTCTCCCCTCCACCTAAACAACATTCTTGTCTCCCCTTCTTTAGTCAAAAACCTTATTTCTGTGCGTACTCTAACTCGCGACAACAACGTCAGTGTTGAATTTGACCCTTTTGGTTTTTCCATTAGGGATCTTCCCACCCGCACGGAGCTCCTCCAATGTGATAGCCGCGGCGAACTCTACCCTCTGCCATCCAACTCGCCGAAGGCTCACCTGGCTACCGCTCCAACCATCGAGCTCTGGCATCAACGCTTGGGGCATCCCGGACGCCACACACTCCTGTAGTCCCTCCCTAGCCTCCACTTCACCTCCAACGACAAGCACTCTCCCACCTGTGAAGCCTGTCAGCTCGGCAAGCACCTTCGACTGTCGTTTCCTTCTTCTAATTCAGTTAGCTATGTTCCTTTCCAAATTGTTCACGCTGATGTATGGACATCACCAGTTGTTATTCTTTCTAGTCGTAAATACTACCTTGTCTTGATTGATGATTACACTCATTACATTTGGACCTTTCCATTGCGTGCAAAGTCTAAAGTTTTTCAGTGTCTACTTAATTTTCATGCCTATGTCTCCCCCCAATTCCAAGTTCCCCTCATTGCTTTACAGACAGACAATGGCCGTGAATTTGACAACCATGCACTTCGTGATCATCTCTCTCGTCATGGCATTGCTCTTCGCCTTTCTTGTCCATTCACATCCTCACAGAACGGCAAGGCCGAGCGAATTATCCGAATTGTCAACGACTGCATTCGCAGTCTGCTCAACCATGCCGGCATGCCTGCTCAATATTGGGCTGAGACACTTTCTATAGCCACGCATCTCTTGAATCGCCATCCTTGTCAAGCCAGAGGCACTGCTGCGCCATTTCAGCTCTTGCTCGGTGCGCCTCCCTCTTACAGCGATCTGCGTGTCTTTGGGTGTTTGTGCTATCCCAACCAAACAGCTACAGTGCCACATAAACTGAGGCCGCGATCAGTGCCTTTGCGTGCTTCTTGGTTATCCTACGAATCACCGTGGTTACCGATGCCTTGATCTCCAGAGCCGACGAGTTATCACATCATGGCATGTTGTCTTTGATGAATCGCAATTCCCCTTCCGCACAGCTCATTCCCCTACGTTGCCGACAATAGCCGGACCGGCTACACTAACTGACAATACTATCATCCTTCAGCCTTCCATTCAGTCACCTGATTCGCCTGATTCGGCTTCTCCGGCTACCAGCTCCACGATCGGGAGTCCTCTCTCTCCATCTCCACCCTCTCCTCTAACACCATAGTCATCTCCCCTCCACGGAACTCCAGCCTCACCCTCACCTAAACCCGCTCAGGCCACACCACCTGCTCAGGCCACGCCTCCGGCCGTGACTCACCCGATGGTCACCCAGGCCAAAGCTAGCATCTATTGCCCCAACCCCAAATACGCCCTTGCGAGCACTACCCCTACCTCTTCCACGTCATCCTCGATGCCTATCTCGCCAGTTCCTAGCTCCGCACGCGCCGTGCTCAAAGACCCAAACTGGCGCCACGCTATGGCTCTTGAGTTCGAGGCCCTTCAGCGCAATCGCACATGACAGCTCGTCGATCGCCCACCCGGAGCTCATATTGTGTCTGGCAAATGGGTGTCCTATCACAAGCTTAACCCCGACGACACCTTGGAACGCTACAAAGCACGATGGGTGGTCCACGGATTCACTCAACACGCTAGCGTCGACTTCGGGGAGACGTTCACGCCGGTCGTCAAGCTAGCGACCATACGCATTGTTCTCACCATCGCTGCTTCTCGGGGCTGGCCTACAAAACAGCTCGACGTCTCCAAGGCTTTCCTCCATGGTTACCTCAAAGAACATGTTCTCTGTGTTGAGATTAAGAGATCATCTAGGGTTAGGTCTAGCGG